ATCCCCGATATTTCATGATAGCACTTAACTCTGTATCATGTTTATTTTATATGCATTTGTTCATTGTCTATTTCTCCCACCTAGCATGGGACTGTGTAGAAATAAGGACTCATACAATACAGCATCTGGACTCTGTCAGATCCTCATAAGTAAATGTTGACTTAATGGCTGAAAGTGAATATATCTTTCTTTTTTAAGCCAGTGAACTATAGAATTGAGGGGGGAAACATTTATCTGGTACCTTTCTAAGCCAGAACTTATATGCTCACATTTCATTAAGTCAACAGTTGTTTGTTTGTTTGTTTGTTTGTTTTTGAGAGGGGGATAGAGGGGACTGGATACAGTGAACTTTATTTTTTATTTATTTTTAAACATATGTTTTTATTGTTTTCAGAGAGGAAAGGAGAGGGAGAGAGATAGAAACATCAATGATGAGAGTGAATCATTGATTGGCTGCCTCCTGCACACCCCCACACTGGGGATCGAGCCTGCAACCCAGGCATGTGCTCTTGACTGGAATCAAACCTGGGACCATTCAGTCCACAGGTAGAGGCTCTATCCACTGAGCAAAACCAGCTAGGGCCAGTGAACTCCCCAGGCCGCACCCCTACTTCTACAGGGTGTCAGGGCTGTACCTTGTGGAGATCAGGAGACTTTCAACATGTTGGGAATCGTTTTGGGGCAAGGACTCCCGAGTAGCTGAATGCCTCTCCTCATCTCATAGGGCTGCTGGTCCAGGGGGACGCTCACTCTTTGGAGGCCACATGGACCACACGATCCATCTCTCCATCTCTGTGGCCAAGTTCATGTTCACACCAGGAAGTGAGCTTGGTGAATGGTCCTTGAGGACAATGTCAGCCTCAGCACTGATGTTGGAAAAGTGGGTGTCACTGGCAAGGTCACAGCATACAACCTGGTCCTCAGTATAGCCCATGTTGCCCTGGGTGGCTTTTCACAGCCTCTCTGGGTTTTCCGAGAAATAAGAGTCAGACAGGCAGGGACCCGAATCCTGCCTGTGCTGCTTCCATTGCCTCTCTGAGATGAACCCCAAGTTCTTCTCCACTCTGAAGAAGAATATGAGGGGCTACCTGGACTCCAAAGTCTCAAAGGGAGGACCTTCACGGTGGTCTAGACTTTGGAATCCAGAGTTAGGAGGGAGCTGTTCCCTTGACTGTGGGTCCTAAGCAGGACAGGTATGGACTTTCGGGTCTGAGAGAGGGGCATCTGGGAGACTTGGCTTCTATACTTTGCTCAAGGAGGGGTCTTCACCTCCTCTGTGCAGTGAACCAGTGGCTGCAGAATTTCTGCAATATAGGGAAGGGTAGAGCGTGGGGCTAAGAGAGACTCAAGAGGGAGATATGATTAGAAGAAATATGAGCAAGACTATATAACTACCTGGCACGTCTGACAAATTCACTTACTGAAACTAACCACACGGGCATGTTCTGATCATAAAATATTCCCAACAGGTGGGTGATTGCAGGAAGTCATGTCCTCAGGGTCTATATGGCACATTAACCTTTACCTTGAACAAAACCTGTTCACTGAGTTTGTGCATCTGGGAAAAGAACAGCTTTCAATGCCAGCATACTCTCTCCAAAAATTCCAGAGATAATACATCCTGATACTGGGAGCAGATGACCCCAACATGCCTCATCGTTATCTTTTACCTCGGTAAAATATGTATGTGAGAGGTTAACTATCTTGCATTGCCTGTAAAGGAGACACGTACCCTACCCATGGCCCTTTGTATCCAAGCCTACAGATTTCCACACTTTAAAAAAAAAATTCAGCAAAGAGGGCTACCACAAGTCATTGGCAACAAATTTCACTTCCGGACTTGTATCAAGGAGCTGAGAAGGCAGGACCAGGTGGCTCCAGCCAGAGTTGGTGCAAAACCACCATGTTTTGTTGCTTTTTAAATGGTTAGATTGATTTTTTTTAAAGCATCTGTCTTTTTTATTCTTTTTTTTTTAAAACATATATTTTATTGATTTTTTTTTTTTTACAGAGAGGAATAGAGAGTTAGAAACATCCATAAGAGAGAATAGTCGATCAGCTGCCTCTTGCACATTCCCTACTGGGGATGTGCCAGCAATCAAGGTACATGCCCTTGACCGGAATCGAACCTGGGACCTTTCAGTCTGAAGGCCGATGCTCTATCCACTGAGCCAAACTGGTTTCGGCAAAAGCATCTGTCTTTAATAACTATTTGTTTTTAGGAAATAAATGGTGAACTCTATGCACTGTGGATCTGAATTCTGCCATCATAATGATGTTCCAGTTTCCAAGCTGCTGAATATATTCTTTGGCGTGGGTGACTGCTATATATAGTACTTCATCTGTATATTGTATTGTGTGTTTACCACCCCAAGCCAAGTCTCCTTCTATCACCACTTATCCTCCCTTTTATCCTCTTCTACCTTCCCCACCGCCCTCCTCTCTAGTATTATAGTCACCATACTGTTGTCTCTACCATTGAGTCCTTTTTTTTTATTTGCTTAATTCCTTCACCCTCCTCAACCAGCCCCCAAATCTCCTCCCCTCTGACAACTGTCAGTCTGTTCTCTATATCAATGAGTCTGCCTCCACTCTGTTCATTTATCTTGCTCATTAGATTCCACATATAAGTGAAATCATATGGTACTTGTCTTTCTTTGACCGGCTTATTTCACTTCGCGTAATACTCTCTGGGTCCATCCATGCTGCAGAAAAGGGTAAGACTTCTTTCTTTCTTAGGACTGAGCAGTATTTTGTTGTGTAAATGTTACCACAGCTTTTTTATCCACTCATTTATGGATGGACACTTGGGTTGCTTTCAAATCTGGGCTATTCTTCATGTTGAGATAACCCTTGGGTAGCTGTAGGGAACGGCTCTAGGGTTAAGCCTCAGATTGACCCTGTGGCAGAACCACAAACAAGTCCCATCTTGAAGGGCACAGCCCTCTTAGCATAATTAAGCTTGACTTTATGGCTGCCCCCTAGATCCTTCCTGGGTAGCGAATGGGCTGTGGGAGGTGCAGCAAGTGCTTCCAAAACAAGTGAAACTCACAGGAACATAGTAACTATGGTGACCACTATCTTGTTTTTCTCTGACTATAAAATAAAGGCTCAGCTTGCTGGCTGGATCCTACTCTGTGGCCTCATCCAGGCACAGGAGACCCTCCAAGCCCCAGCTATATTCACTTTGTCTGTCTTTTCTTTAATACTTCACTGCCCCTCCTCAGGCTCACCGAACCCTTGGCTGTGCTGGCATGGCACAGGTAACCCCCCAGATATGCATTCCTGGCACCAGGGATTTATTGTCAGGCATGAAAACTTTCCTTTGGATTTCTGGCATGAAGGGACTTTCATGGAGGTTTAGGGAGACTGATGTATGCAAGACATCTCACAACCCTTGAGGGAAACCACTCCATCCACATGTCTCATAGAGCATGACTCCAAATACCCAGCGGTGATTGGATAGGGTTGGTCACTTGACCAGTATGCAGTCAAACCATTGGCCATTTCAGGACCTATGATGAAGCTGAAGGAGAAAAGTTGAGCTAGACCAGTTGGATTTTCTTTCATGAAAATATGACCTGAGAAATCCTGAGAGTCCTGGTGTGCTAACTCAGTTGGTTTGAGCATTTGCCCTATCTGCTAAGGTTGCAAGTTCAATGCCTGGTCAGGACACATACAAGAACCAACCAATGAATGCACAAATAGTGGAACAATAAACTGATGTTTCTCTCTTTCTATGAATGAACGAATGAATGAATGAATGAAAATTTTAAAATCCTGGGGGAATGGAGCAATTGATGGTTGAGGATGAGGTTTAAAAGTTATAAAATGAGAGAGAAATAAAAAAAGACACGAGGGAGAAGACACTATGAAAATGCAGAAGCAGTAGGGAAGGGTTTATAGTGTCAAATAGAGGAATTAGATGGTTATTAGCAAGAAAGTCATAGAACATCCTGGAAGAGCCAGGAGACAGATGCATAGGGGAAGCCAGCCTCCACTTGGTGGCAATTTATTTATATCCTCACAACTATGACCCACTCCACACACATCTTTCCCAAGAACTGCCCCAAATGTCCTCTTCTGCACACTTCAGCTTGGACAGCAGCAATGACATGCCTCACTTCCTTCTGCCATAGTGGTTACCCCCTGGCAGCTCTAAGCTGTGAGAAAGAATGCTATTTCTCCTGAAGGGGGGGAAGGGGCAGGAATCGGTCTCTCAGAGATCTGAGGGCCGTCAATGTTCTATTTCTTCACCTAGGTGGAGCTTTATGGGTGTTCATGAGTGCATGCTTAAGCTGTCAACATACCTCCCGCACCCTACTTTGCATATCTCTCCTCAACGGGTAAAAACATGTTAGCTGCTCAGGAAAAGAAAGCATAAACCCTTTCAAGTCTGTCTTTGACAGGCCATGCTATTGGATATTAGAAAATTCTTACATGTCTTGGATCACACGATGTCACTCATATATGAAATCTAAGTAACAAAGTAAACTAATGAATTGAGTGGATCCAGAGACATGGAAGCATGGAACAGAGTGCAGAATCTCAGAGGGTAGGCGGGGGCGGATGGATGGGTGGGTGGGAATTAATCAACCTAGAACCTTATATGCATATATGCATGGCCTATGACCACAGATAGTGGGGTGGTGAGGGTCTGGGAAGCGGGGGTGGGGGCCTGCTGGAGGGGTATAATAGAGAGGAAACAGGGACACATGTAATACTTTCAACAATAAAGAATTATATTAAAAACATTTTTACATGTGTTCTGTCCCCTGAAATTAACCTCCCCTTTCTCCAAGTCTTTCCAGGAAAAATGGGTCCCTTTAGGCAATGGTGGTGGTCAGAGTGGCCATGGGGTCCTGGTCTCTCTAGACCTCCTGTCTAGCTTTCCATCGGGTGCAGATCCTGTCCCTCCACACTCCCAGCAGGGCCAAAGCAAGACAGGCAAAGAGCCAGACCATGGTTTTTGGTTTATTGAGGGGGATCCAAAGCTTGTCCTAGGCTGAGCTCTTGCCGTGGATGGTCTTCTTGATCCAGTCCAGGTAGCGACAAAGGTTGGTGTAGACACCAGGCCTCTTGGATTGCCCACAGGGGTCCGATCCCCAGGATGTGATCCCTTGGAGAACTCCATCACACACCAATGGGCCCCCGGAATCGCCCTGGAGGGTGTAAGGGAAGAGTTTCACCTAAGATACCCAGCATTTGGCACCAGGTCTGCTACATGATTGGCCCCTCCAGCCACTGGGGACAAGAGCCATTGTCCCCTGGCTCCACCTGCTGGCTGACTTAGGGAAGCACGAGACTTGGTTGGAAAGTCTGTAAGGAGGATTCTCTGACACCTCTAGGGCCGGGGTCGGCAAACTGCTGCTCGTGGGCCACATGCGGCTCTTTGGCCCCTTGAGTTTTCAGCAAAGGCCAGCTTAGGAGTACACTAATTAAATTAATAACAATGTACCTACCTATATAGTTTAAGTTTTAAAAATTTGGCTCTCAAAAGAAATTTCAATCATTGTACTGTTGATATTGGGCTCTGTGGATTAATGAGTTTGCCAACCACCAACCACTGCTCTAGGGGAATCTTGCCAAAGGCGGTAGACCCAGCCTTGACTTTTCCAAACAAGTCTGAGCCCCCAGACTTTTTTTTTTTTTTTTTTTTTTTTTTTTTTTTTTTTTTTTTTTTTTTTACTGGACTCTTCATGTTTAGACTTCAAAACGTCCTTGTTTGAAAGACCCTACAGATACATGTGTTTCCTCAAGGATACTTACCTACTCATAGTGTCTAGAGGTTAATTTCAGTTCAAGCTGTTGCTACAATAAAAGTCTAAGAAGGCAAGTGAATGGAGCTGTCTGGTTCCTTTAGCCAGGCAGTCCCTTAGCCCTTCTCTTTCACAGAAACAAACACAGAGTAATCGTCAGCCCCGGCAGGCAGACTAGGGTGAGCGAGAGGTTAACAGAGTGGGGTGGGGTCTTCCACATACAAGGAACCAGACAAATTGTCTAAGGGTGGTGAAGGAAATGCTGGCAAAATGAGAGAAAAGAGTGCTCTGAAGGGTCCAATCTAAAGAGAGAAAACATCGGGTACTGAGCTGATGTGGCCTCCACTTCCTGGATTTTGGTGAACAGATCTTTGAGTCCAGTTACCAAACAGGAAAAAGAGCAGGGTTCTTGTACACACGTGCACACACACACACACACACACACACACACACACGTGCACCCACTATGCCAATAATTGTAGGAGTCTCTGTGGGGAAAAATCATCATCTGTAGGAATCATCCAGAGAAACAGATTTCAGGGCATGATCTCTGATAGAATGACTGTGTTCCTGGCCAATGCGGAAGGACACAGTGGGGCATCGTTTTCAGGGTCCAATCATTGGCAAAGGGAGCGGGATTTCCATGCAGGGGACAGAGCCAGGAAGAGCCCTGAAGACTGGAGTTGCAGCCAATGCAAAAGAGAGAGTTATATCTATTGCAAATCCCAAGACTTGTCATCTTGGGGGGTGGGGCGTCTTTGAAGGAGCCCTGTAATCCATGGCACCGTTCCCTGGACAACTGAGGAGAGAGCATTGCTCCCCCCAAGAAATCAGTCACAGGAGCAGGCAGCTGTGCTTAGGAAAGTGAGTCAGGTGCCACATCAAAGCGGCTGACTCGCTGGTGGATGGCAGAGTCCACAGAAACATTGGGAATGAGAACACACAGAAAGGGAACAAAAGCCTGTATGCCCTGTAGCCTCCGACTCTCTCCTTCATGGAAACATCCTCTTGGGGGATGCGCACCTGCCGGCTTAGGCAGTGGGACATTCCTCCCTCCCCCTTTACCTCACCCCTCCCTGAACCTCATCCCCAAGACAGGGGAGGGGGTTCCCGTAAAAACGACAGCGACTACTCAACGCTTCTGATCCCTGCGCTGTGTGACCTGCTGGGAGAGTGTGGCCTTCTCTGAATCTTCTTCCCACTTCAGAGAGATGGGAACTTCTCCGAGTGCTAACCCTGTGGGGTCACCCCTCTGAGGTGCCTCCAGCCTCTACCAGCGGAGGGGAGGGGGGAGGGAGGGAAAGGGGGCGGGAAGAAAGGGGTTTCAGGCTGGCTCATTCAGAAGGGATTTTGATTGGCTGATTAGGAAGTCACTCACCTGGCATGAGTCAGCCCCACTGCTGTCACCTGCACAGACCATTGCCTCGGTGACTTTCCCTGGGTAGGCATCTTCACACCGCTTCTGGGGCACGATGTAGACGTCTGCGCAGTTGAGGGCATCCGGAAAGTTCGCTGAGGGAGTACAGGATGTAAGTTCCCAGAGAGAGCAGCCTTGGCCCTCCATCCCTGTCTGGATCGAACCTTTCCTCTCTGCATCCTCAGCTGCACGGGGGGCAGGTGAGGGGGGTGGGGGCTGGTTCCTGGCACATTCCTCGTGGCTTATCATTTCTCACCACCTTCAACAGAGCCATGGACCAAGCGTCGGACCCTTGGATCCTATCTTTTCTTTCTTGCTTTGAGGCATTTTCAAATTAAGAGTCAGGAGACAAGAGGGTTTGGAGGTGCCCTCTTGTGACATATCTGTCCCACTTCCTCCAAGTCTTCCCACCCCTAAGCCACCAGGTTGTCAATCTCAGCTGAAATCTACTTCCTCCAATTGTCACCTCCTCCACCTCCTCCTCCTCCTTGAAGCCTTTTCTCGACCCTTAATTAAAACACCACACCTTGCCCTAGCTGGTTTGGCTCAGTGGATAGAGTGTTGGCCTGCAGACTGAAAGGTTCCGGGTTCGATTCCGGTTAAGGGCACATGCCCGGGTTGTGAGCTTGATCCCCAGTAGAGGGCATGCAGGAAGCAGTCAATCAACGATTCTCTCTCATCCTTGATGTTTCTCTCTCTCTCTCTCTCTCTCTCTCTCTCTCTCTCTCTCTCTCTCTCTCTCCCTCTCTCCCTCTCCCTTTCTCTCTGATATCAATAAAAATATGTCCTGCCAAAACCGGTTTGGCTTAGTGGATAGAGCGTCGGCCTGCAGACTGAAGGGTCCCAGGTTCGATTCCGGTCAAGGGCATGTATTATACCTTGGTTGCGGGCACATCCCCAGTAGTGGGTGTGCAAGAGGCAGCTGATCGATGTTTCTCTGTCAGGGATGTTTCTAACTCTCTATCCTCTCTCTTCCTCTCTGTAAAAAAATCAATAAAAACATATTTTAAAAAATAAAATAATAAAAATAAAAAGATGTCCTCATCCCACAGTCATTTTAAAAACAAGACAAAAACAAAGCACCACACCTCTATCACTCCCTATCCTCTTACCATTCAGGGTATTTCATTATATAAACTACACCTCTCTCTCATATGTCATGTTATAGGTTTACTGTCTATTTCCCCCACCTGGCATGCAACTCTATGAGGACAGGGACTCATCCCATACAGCTCGTGGGGCCTGTCAGATCCTTCACAAGGAAGTCTTTGAATTTTAACGACTGTAAGTGGAATTCATCCTTCTTATCAGCCTTTGAGCAGTGGACTTGAGTGGGGAAACGAGGGCACCTCTCCCAGCCAGAAGTTATATGCTCACATCTATCTCATTTAACCTTCGCAATGGCTTTTGGAAAGGAGGGATGCATTCATTGATTCCTTCTTTCACTCATCCACAGGATCATCCAACAAATACATATGGAGCACCCTGAGCACTAGGAATGGCCAATGGGAAAAAAAAATAGATATAACCCTAACTGGTTTGGCTCAGTGGATGGAGCATTGACCTATGGACTCAAGGGTTCCAGGTTCGATTCCGGTCAAGGGCATGTACCTTGGTTGTGGGCACATTCCCAGTAGGGAGTGTGCAGGAGGCAGCTGATAGATGTTTCTCTCTCATCGATGTTTCTAACTCTCTCTCCCTCTCCCTTCCGCTCTATAAAAAATCAGTAAACTATATTTTTTTTTAAAAAATTTTAATGAGCCCTTAGCGAGCTTAAAAGTCTATCCATTAGTTTTCCTCGTTTTGCAAGTGAGGAAAGTGAGGCTGAGAGCCTGGGCCAGTATTGTTGGGTTCAAGAGGAAAAGGGAGCTGAGAAATCTTTCTTGGGCCCCTGCAAATCCTTTGTATCCCAAGTCTGTGAATGAGATTATATAAAATCCTACCCAACAAAGATCTCATAACACGTTACTCTCCACCATAAAGGAGTGATTCATTCACCCATCCATCCATATTTTTGAACCCTACTTAACAATGTGTTACTTTACTTACTTTCTCCCACCACTCCTATTAATATCCTCGCCTTCCGTGTTCCCAACATGGGCCACGTGTGAATCGCAACCCCATCGCCACGGTCCCTTCCTTATCTCCTTGCAGGGGTCAAGTTTGGCCAACGGCTTGGGGTCCACTGGGAAAACCAGCTCCTCCTCCTCCTTCTCCTCCTCCACGCCAACTACCTTGGGGGCTGGTAACGGTGCCCCAGCCCGAGATGGTGCACTTCTGGTTGACGCGAGGGCAGTGGTCTGTCAGGTTGATGGGCTTCACGGAGTCCCCTCTGGAGGCTGGGTCGCGTAGCCGGAGGAGCATCAGGTCGTGGTTGTGGTCCTCGCTGTCGCCGCTGAAGCAGGGGTGTGGGATGGACTGGGCCACGGCCCTTTCCTGCCCTGACCCACTCTTATTCTTCAGGCTGTGCTCTCCCAAGCGGACGGTGTACCTCCTGGAAGGATGGGGATTCGTTTGGGATGCAGCCCCCTCAGACCTGAGTCCAGGCTCCCAGCTTCCTCTTTTCTCAGCCTCTCTCTCTCTCTCTCTCTCTCTCTCTCTCTCTCTCTCTCTCTGCCTGGGACCCAGCTCTCTCTTTCCCAAGGTAAAACCCAATCCCCTCTTTACAGTCCCCTCAGACCCAGGAGTCCAGGCTCCCAGCTCCCTCTTCTCTCAGCCCCCCCCTTCTCTCTCTCTCTCTTTCTCTCTCTCTCTCTCTCTCTCTCTCTCTCTCTCTCTCTCTCTCTCTCTCTCTTTTCTCTCTCCCCCTAAGACCCAGATCTCTTTCCCAAGGTAAAACCCAGCCCCCTCTTTCACCAGGCCCAGCCCACCTCTGCCCCAGTCCGAGCGTCCACTCACGGCTTTTTGCAGTGGGCTGCCGTGAGAACCCAGTTGTCATCGATGAGGACTCCCCCGCACAGCAGCTGGTCCCCCTGGAACAAGGCCGTCTGCCACGGCTGCGAGTTGGACTTGCACTCCTGGCCCCCCAGCACCTTGCTCTCGTCTGCCCTCCAGTGTCCTATAGAAGGTGTGTGTGTGGGGGGGGGGGGGGATGAGGGAGGAGAGCAGGAGCATGAATTCAAAGGGACACACCCCAGGTTCTCTCTGCTTGCCTTCCTCCCTCCCTCCTGTGTCCACACACACACACACACACACACACACACCCTCGTGTGCGGGGCTCCCGGCTTGCACATGCCACCCACCACACACACTGGCACACGTACACTCGCTGAACCCCGTGACTCATCCGTCACACGGAGTCACACACCTAAGCTTGCTTCCACAGGCTCCTACACTCCCACGTGGGTCTTCCCACCCCCCCACCCCCCCGCACTCCCCAGCAAGCAGCCCACAGAGCTTGGGGTGCTCATGCAAGTGTGCAACGTCCCCTGACACGCATCTACCTGCCGTCACCAGAGAGCTGTGCCTCCACCCGCCCCCCCTCCCAAAGCCAGCCAGCCCCAGAAGCCCCCCACATACCATCACACACCCCGCCACAGGCATGCACACGGGCTCGCACTCACTTGCACAGACTTCTAGCAGCAGGAGCAGGAACATCCAGGCGCACACGGCGGCGGCAGGCGGTGGGCGTCCCATGCTGAGGCCTGGGGGAGGGAGAGCATGGGCTGAGGGAGGAGGAGGAAAGAGTCTGAAATCCTAGTAGGGTCTTGGGATTGGGGGTTGGTCTAGGGGAGCAGAGGGCATCCAGGCTCTTCTGGTCCTGGATCTTAGTTTAGAAAGGGGTGGGGCCCCAGATTTCTGAATCCGAGGAGAGAGGGAAGCTGGGAGGGTCTGGATTTTCAGGTTCCCAGGGAGAAGGGAGCCCTGCTTCGTACCCCGGACCCCTCCTGAGTCTCAGGGAAGAGGAGGCTGGGGCTCAGATTCCTGGGCCCGGTTCGGAAGGAAAACAGGATCTCAGGCTCAAGTCCTGGGCCTGAAGGGGGGGTCCAGAGGCCAGAGGGGCGGGATCACCTACTGATTCTGACCCAGAGGCAGAGGAGGCCCCAGGAACTCAGCTCTCTGCCTGCTTCAGGGATCTGGAGCCTTTTAACTGGGAATCCCCGCCTCCTGCTCCGCCTCCTCCGCCCTGGGCTGGCGGAGCACCCCTGGGCTGCAGTGAGGAGGGGCTGAGGGGTTGAGGCAGGAGGGGCTGGATTCTTGGGGTCCAGAGGCAAGGGAGAGGAGTTCAGAGCTGTGACTTCTGGGTGACACAGAAAGGACTGGGGGCTCAGACGTCTGTCTGGGTCTGGAAGAGGCCAGGGCTTGGGGGCGTTGAACCCTGGGCCTGAGAAGAGAAGAGGGCTGGGGAGCCTAGACTCCTGGGTCTGAATGAGGAGGGGGAGGATGCTGGACCCCTGCTTACAAGGATGAGAGGACTTGGAGCCTGGACTTTGGAACTGATGGAGGACGGGGGGTGGGGGGTGGGGGGGGGCTGCTGTCAGGAACCCCCAAAGGAAGAGAGGCGAGTCTTCTTGGTTGGGACACCTAAGGGCGGGCCGGCCCCGCCCTCTGTCCCCTGAGAGGGTGGGACCTGGGCAGGCAGGTTTGGGAGGCACCGTGACCTGGTTTCCCCTTCCCCTGGGGGCGACGGGACCAGCCTGACGGAACCCGGGAGGCTTGCTGCAATAGAGCTGATGGGGACGGACCACAGGCAGATCCCACTGAGGAAATTTTCTCAGGGGGAATTTTAACGCAGTGACGTTTCCCCATCGGCCACTCCACCGCCCATCAGCTGCCCTTCCTCCGTCCCACGACCCAAGCAAGAAAGCAGAGAGGGCTCCATGCCTTTATTGCAAAACCATCCACGGGATCTGAAGACATCCAGACCCTCCCCATCCACTCCTCCCAGATAGTCCAGGGCGGGATGAGAACCCAGGACACGCCTCCTAAAAAGCAGGGCTCCGAGGGGCGGGCCCAGGCCCTCCCTGTTCGCACCAATGGAGGGAAAGCACCAGCAGCCCTGATGTTACGGGGGCAGGGACTCTGACAAAGGGGGTGGGGCCGGAGTCCAGCGGAGACCTCTCATTGGGCAATATTCCGAGGGGGCGGGGCTACTGGGTGGATGTCGGGCCTGGGGCAGATCCGCCAGGTGATGCTGTTGCACAAGGTGGTGCCAGTTCTTGCTGATGTCTGGGAGCTGGAACCTGGAGGATAGACATTGTCTTCCTGCTCCATCCCAAGGGGGCAGTAACCAGAAGGCTTCTCCAGGACAGCTGAGGGAGGGCACCGGTGGTGGAGACCCCTGAGGGAGGTCCCCGTTATCCTGCACCCCCTTATCCTGCACCCCCCTCGGCCTCTGGTCATCCTAGGCGCGAGGGCTCAGTATTCCTCCATCGTCTTTCTGATCCACTTCACATAGTGGCAAACGCTACTGTAGACGGCGGGGCGCCGGGGTCGGGAGCAGGGCTCGGAGCCCCCAGACACCACACCAGCCAGAGTCCCGTGGCAAACCAGCGGGCCCCCAGAGTCGCCCTGAGGGTGGGAGAAAAGAGAGGAACTGTTAGGCCAGGCTCAAACAGAACCCCCCCCCCCCTGACACCCAGACACCCAGAAGCCAAGGGAGTGGGGTCACCTATTGATTGTGACCCAGAGGGAGAAGCCCCAGTAGCTCTCCAGGCCCCCCTCCCTCAAACCCAGGAAGAAAAGCTCGCAGCCTTCATCCCTCCCTTGGACCTAGCATTCTGGTTCCCTAGCACCCTCTTCTCCCAGGACTTAGAAACCAAGACTCCTCCCTCCCCTCCCCCAGGCCCCTCCTGTTTTAGATACAGAAATCTGGTGCTGGACCCACCAGCATCTCCCAGGCCCCCCATCCTCCACCTCCTCCCCAGAGTAGATCTCACCTGGCAGGAGCCACGGCCCCCCTCCCACAGGCCGGCACAGAGCATACGCTTGGAGATTTGGCCAGGGTATGCCCTCCGGCAGAGTCTGGGCTCCAGGATGCTGATGTTGGCACACTGCAGTGTGAGTGGGTACTCCACTGTGGGGGAAGGAGGTCACAGAGGGTCAGCAGCCTTCCTCCTCTCACTCAGCATCCTCCCTGCCCATTTTTAAAAATATATATATTCTTATTGATTTCAGAGAGGAAGAGAGAGATATTGAAACATCAAGGATGAGAATCATTGACTGGCTGCCTCCTGCACATCCCCTACTGGGGATTGAGCTCACATCCTGGACATGTGCCCTAACCAGGAATCCAACCGTGACCTTCCTGGTGCATAGGTGGGTGCTCAACTTCTAAAGCCATGGGCTGGACTCTCCCCCTCTCCCCACCCCATTTCGGAAGGAGGATCCTTGGAACCACAGCATAAGATTCTTCAAGATATTATAGAAACAAAGACAGTGACAAAGAGACAGAATTCTAGCATAGAAGGGAAATAGATGTGTATGAAGAAGGAGAAAAAGGGAAAAAGAGAAACAGAAAGATGCAGAGAAGAAGAAGGAAAAAGACACAGAGAGGTGAGTGACAAGAAGAGAGACAAAATTACATATTTCTATATAATTTACATAGAAAATATAGAGACCATGCCAGGAGCTAGAAACCTCTGAAGGGGAAAGAAATTCTTCGAGGAGGCCATGAAGTAATCGAAATGAGCCCAGCGGTATCCGGTGAGAAGGCTGTGGGTTAGAGAGGAGGAAACATTTATAGGGAGACAGTCATTGATATAGAGATAAAGATGTAGAGATACGAGGCAATGAAAGAGGGCGTTGCCACATATAGAGAGAGATAGACATGGCTATAAATATGCATGTGCCCGTGTATACAATGTGTAAAAATTATAGACATGGATGCAAACTCAGATGCATCCAGGGGCTTGGTGGGTAAACGGGAGTGAGGCGGAGACTGTTGTGGTTTGGCCTGCAGGGGGCCACCTGCGCTCTATCCAAGACTGGTAGCTCTTGTGAAAATGTAAGAACCTTGACTGCTATGTAGAATCTCCCAGATTTGAGATGTTGGCAGCAACAAATTACGACATGATTTTTTTCAAGACGCTCGGAAAACCAGCACTAATGTGGGAAGCCAAATTTGGCTAACAGGTCTTTGATTTCTGACTCTGAGAATAGAAGGCCTTATTTGGATTCTAAGATACATATATCTGCACATTTAAACACCCTGTAATCATGAGGTGTCTTCCAGGAAATGATATCTCACAAGGGTCAATGGGACATCCCCCTATTCTCAATAATCCTATCTAATAAAGACGGAATATGCAAATTGGCTGTCACTTCACAACAAAGATGGCGGCACCCACAGCCAATAAGGAGGGGATATGCAAATTGATGTGACAAAGATGGTGGCGGCTGGACCGCTCCGAGCCTCTGGGCAGTGTGCAAAGACAGAAGGCGGCTCCAGGCCTGAGCAAAGGTGGAAGGTGGAGGCCAGAGTGAAGGCCCCGGGGCAGGAAGGCCTATTCTTGCACAAATCTTCATGCATCAAGCCTCTAGTATGATAATAAATAATATGAGGTGAAATCCTGATGCACCTTATAATGTATATCATCTTAGATTTGCTGGAACATATGGGTGGAGAGATAGATCAATAGATAAAGGGGAGACATGAAAAGGCAGAGACAGAGAAGGAGGAGGGGTTTAGACCCTCAGTGTGAGACGTAAGGGAGTGTGTCATGGCCAAGGCTGTACCTATGGGGCTGGACACGGCCCCCCAGCCGGAGATGAGGCACTGGGTGCCTGGGGAGACACAGGTCTGGCTGATGTTGAGGGGCTGCACGGCAGGTCCCAGGCGTGCCTTCCTGGGCAGGCGGATCAGCATGATGTCGTTATTGTGGTCTTGGGCTCGAAGGTCCTGGTTGAACCCGGGGTGGGGGAAGAAGTCCGTGACCCGGAACAGCTGCTCTGGGCCCTCCCATTTCCAGATGTGGTGCTCCCCGAGGCGGACCCACAGATACCTGGTGGGACAGGCCTCAGGGGGTCAAAATGTGTGTCCACCGCGGTGTTACGTGACTCTCCACACGCTACCTGTTCTCTCTGGGTCCCCGTCATGTGTTCGACCCCAGAGTGCTGTGTGATTTTAAACAAGGCACACACCCTCTCTGGGCCTCTCAATCCCTTTGTCTGCCTGTGCATTTGTAACTCTCCTCCAAGGTCCATGCCAAGGGATCCGCCTTCTTCATTGCCCCACCTGGTGCCTTGCTGGTGACCTATGTCCCCTGGAACTAGGTAAGCACACGGGGGCTCCGCCTACACCCCAGAAACAGCCCCACCCCTGCCCCCACAGGTTTGGTGGCTTCTGTGAGGAGTGGCTGTTTGTGCCTTCCAGGGTGTTTGCTGCAGGAGGGTCATAGGATATGGAAAATCCCCAACTTTGGAGTCATCCTTGGCCTTGGGGCTTTTTCTATCTGTCATATCGCTGACCCGCCAATCCACTTCCCCCCTGAGGTATAACCTCAAGCCTTCTCAAGGCGCTTCTGGTTTACTTGTTCTGTTCTGGGTCCATGGCCTGGCTAGCTGAAGACTTTATGGGGGTCTGCCTATCCATGCCATTTCACAACCTCGGACCTCTCCCAGGAGGGGCCAGGCTAATCACCGAGAACGCTGGGTTTGAGGAGTGTGCGGTTATTTCTGTCTCTGTGTCTCTCTGTCTCTGTGTTGCCTCCACAACCAGCCCTTTCCCCCACTCAGACTCATCCTTGCCCCTTCATCCCTTCTGCCTCCATCTCTCTTTGCTTCTCCTTCTCTATGCTCAGAGCTGACCTCTAGCCTGGTGTACAGACCTTGAACCTGAAAGAGGCCCCACCATGGAGCAATGCATGCTGGGAAATTCCCACACAGCATCTTGTAAACAATACCTGTGCTTCATTCCTGAAGAGCATCGGGACAGAGTGGACAGCTCCATTCCAGAGATAGGCAAACAGGATTTCTGCCCCAGGTAGAATCTCAGTGATTCTATCAGAATGCTCAGAATCTAAAACTGTAGGACCTTAGGATTCTCACACATTAGGAATCCAGAAACCCTAGATTTCTATAAGGCTCAAGTTTTAGAATGTCATGAATCCCAAGTTGTACTGTTCTAGAGTTCTCTAGATCAAATATCCTAGGTTTGAAAGATTATCAGAATTAAATCTAGGACAAGCCTAAAATTCTAATATTTTGAAGCAACTGCACAAAGGTTGTTATCATTCCAGAATTCTATGAAGCTATGGTTTTTGAAATTTGAAAATCTAGGGTTCAAATAGTTGGAGACCCTAGAATTATCTGAATGAAAAGTGTGGGGGTTTTAAGAATCTGGAATCATAGCATTCTGCTATCTTAAGTCCAACAAATTCTAGATGCTTATGAGCAGAACCTTCTAGAATTTTCTTGGTTCAAGATTCTGGATGCTACAAATCACAGTATTCTAGGACTATGAGCATCTATATTTGACAGATCCAGACAGAATACGCTGAATCTAAGATTTTAATATTGCTCTATCCAGTACAACTACTTCCAATTGAGATGTGGCTACGTCCGGTTTCAAGGGCTTACACACACAAAAATAAAAGGATTAATGATGACATTGTTTAAGACATTTAAACATTGATTACACGTGAAAATAATACTTAAAGTTAAATCCATTATTAAAATGAAATCCTCTTGTTTTTCTCTTGCAGCATGTCTACTAGACACGTGAAACTTAAATGGCCAGTGTTTTATTTCATTGGCAGTGTTGTTGTAGACTTCCAAGATTCTAGAATTCTCTGAGGCTCCTGTAGAACCCCGTGGAACCAAGACCTTAGGAGTCTGAGGTTCTGGATTACCCTGGGCCAGAGTCGAAGGTTCAAAGACTGTACGTTTCCAATCTTAGACTCTTAGGGCCAGATTACGTAAAACTCTAAAAGGAGGGAATGTTGACAACTTTGTAATTTTGTTCATTATATTCCACAATATATTATATTTCTGAGAAGAGGAATAGAGGCTCACCCCTTCTTGCCCACAGCTCCCTCCCTTCTCCTCTATCGGAGCCCGTGTCCACCTCACTCTTTTCTCATGCATCGCCTCCTCCCCAGAGCGGTCACTCACGGCTTGTAGCAGTGGGCAGCTGTGAGCAGCCAGCGGTCACTGATGAGGGTCGCCCCGCAGAAGAGGTGGGTGAAGAAGAAGAGGCCTGCCTGCCAGGGCTGCGAGTTGGGGTGGCATTCCTGAGCCCCAATGGCTCTGGTGTCTGCCCGGCTGTTTCCTGCAGGCAGGGAGAGGGAGACAGAGGGGGGTCAGTGAAGAGCAAGATGGAAGGGCTAGGGAGAGAAGCAGAGACGCCTAGAGGGCAGGCACAGGAGGCTGGGGTGTGCAGGGCCACGTGGAGAGGTTGCCGGGGCCCTGGAGGGTCAGCAGGATGGGCAGGGTGGATGGCAGGAGCCTCACCTGCCAGCAGAGAAAGCAGAGCACAGACAAACCCCAGCTTCATGACCTCTGGGTGCCTGGGTCCTGGCGTCCGGCTCTGCTGTCCCTGCTTCTTTATGGTTAGCCATGTCATCGCCTTCCTCCTCCCTGGGGCCACCCTGTGATTAATTGGGGTTGGGAAATGTGGCTGGGGGAGGAGGAAGCCCTGGGGCCTGGACTGGATGCCTTGAGAAGGAGTCTGGGCAGGGGGATCCCCTGTTAGCAAGAGCTGACTGCCTGCCTGCTGGATCGGGGCTTGAGTACATGGGGAGGTGGACATAGAATCCTCCTGGGCATCTCCAAAGAGGGAGAACCCTCATTCCCCATGACCTCAAGGTACGGGATCTGCATGCAGGATGGTGAGTGGCCTGAAGGAGGAAGAGGGTGAGGAGGAAGGTCCCTAAGGCAGGCTCTGAAGTCTTGAAGGACCCGTGACCAGGAGAGCTGCCCAGAAATCAGGCTGCAGGTGGGAGAAGAACCAGGACTCAGAGGCAAGGAGCCACACCGAAGACGCAATGTGGCTGAGGTGGGGACAGGGAATGATCTCACTCCTTTGTGGAATATAATGAACAGCATCAACTGATGAACAGGGACAGATCCAGAGGCAGAGAAGCATCGATCTGACTGCCAGACCTCAGAGGGAAGCTCGGGAGGATGGGCAAAAGGAGGAGAGATCAACCAAAGGACTTGTAGGCATGCATATAAGCCTAACCAGTGGGCACGGGAGTGGAGGTTGGGAGGGTGAGGGCATGAGCAGGGGGAAGGGGGTGGTGAGTTGGTTGGGGGGTCAATGGAGGGATGAGGACACATACCTTAATCAATAAAGAAATTTTTAAAAATATATATCTTATTGATTTTTTACAGAGAGGAAAGGTGAGAGAGGGAGAGTTAGAAACATTGATGAAAGAGAAACATCCATCAGCTGCCTCCTCCTGCACACTCCGTACTGGGGATGTGCCTGCAACCAATGTACGAGCCCTTGACCAGAATCCATCTTAGGACCCTTCAGTCTGAAGGTTGATGCTCTATCCATTGAGCCAAACCGGTTAGGGCGTCAATAAAGAATTTTTTTTTTTAAAGAACCAACAGAGGTGGGGGAAGTGGATAGGGGGACATCTGTAATACTTTCAACAATAAAGATACAGAAAGAAAGAAAGAAAGAAAGAAAGAAAGAAAGAAAGAAAGAAAGAAAGAAAGAAAGAAAGAAAGAAAGAAAGAAAGAAAGAAAGAAAGAAATAGGGGAAGGAGACAGAGACACAGAAAGATCCAGAGAGAGAGACACTGACTCAGACTGAAAGAAGCAGAGACCACAAAGATGTTTGAGAAATACGGTCCCAAGTAGGTTGACACACACTTGCCATAACCTATTCCCTTCCTCACATCCTCACACCACAAGGGCCCCAGAGGCCCCCCTGCCTGGAACCAGCACTTTCCCTCTCTCTTATTGTCCCCAGATCCTGGCTACGTGCGGAGAACATTCTCTTGTTGTTCTTTTTCTCATCCATCTCCTCCCCTCAGTTGCCCTTCCCATCACCCCCAATCTTGCTGCCTCTCTTCCTCTCCTTCATCATCTGATGGGCAGCCCAGGAAGGGCCAAGCCCAGGTCTGATTAATCTGTTTCCCCAGAATCGCCCAGTTCAGGATATGTTAATTGAATGAACGAATGCCTTTCTCAATATCCTTCTTTTCCTAGTGAACTCCTCCTCATCCTTCAAGACCCAACCTAAATACCACCTCCTTTAGGAAGTCCTCTGTGATTTCTCCAGACATTCGAGGAAGCCACCCACTGCCCATACTATCACGGGAGGGCATCAAGGAACGCGGAAGGTCCATCGGCCGATGGACCTTGGGTGTGAGCAGGGCTAACGCCAAGCACCATTGGTCTGTTGAGATAGTGGCGGCTCTCGAAGCAATTTTCGGACCTAATAGCCTCAAAGGTCTTGCTGGTCTTTACTGATCTTTATTGATCTCAGAGATGGTGTGTCTGCTACCTGTTTGCTGCTTTAACTGAGGGCAAGATGTGTATCTAACATTTAATAAAAAGCGGATAAAGCCAGGGTTCGGTGTGCCTCTTCAAGAGAGAGTTCTCCATGTCTCCCCCTCTTCCCCATGCCCTCTAAATTCATATTTCTTGTCCAGTGTTTTCATTTGTGCGTCGGCTCCTCCTTCAGATCCTGAACACCCTGCCACACAGGCAGAGTCCATCTTTTCCTCCCCTGAGCACTCACCACCTCTTCCCCTGGCCATGAGCCTGATTGACAAGCAGGGTCTGGGCTCCCTTTGAATGCATCTTCACAAGGACGTCACCGTCTGGAACATGAATTCTGGACCTGGACCACCTGGATCTGAATCTCGGGGCTGTCAATCATGAGGTGTGTGAACTTGAGCAGGTCCTTGGACCTCTCTCGGCCGAGGTCGAAGGGGGATTGGTCCACTCGTGTGAGGACCATATCTATCAGGCACATTGTGAGTATTACCCGCCTAAGTCTGTCTGTCTCCTACAGAGCCCTGCACTGTCCCCAGGACTGCAGTGGTCTTAACTCCCTCCCCAGACGAGCAGGTTTTGAGGATTGAATACCCACTGTGTGCCTGAATACCCACTATGTGCTAAGAGTCAGACTAACTGCTTTAAGAACTATGCATTCTTGTCTTGACAGCTGCCTGTATGGACTGTTTACTCTGTACCTGGCAGTTAGATAAGCATTACATGTACTAGTGTATACTATCTCATTTACTTCTCACAAGAGTCTTTTTCATCTCAGTGTCACAGGAAGCGGGGATGGGAATTAAGGTAGAGCCGTCAAGGAATGTGGTCTGCGCTACACAATAAGTGACAGGAATCCATTTCCTTCTAGAAATGGCGAACTCCTCCTTATCCTTTAAAACCGCATGCAGCCCTAGCCGCTTCATCCCATACAGCAAAGGGTTGCCTGTTCAATTCCCAGTCTGGACACATATGGTTGGGTTTTGAGTTCAATCCCAGGTCGGGGCGTGTAGAGGAGGCAACTAATTGATGTTTCTCTCTCACATCAATGTTTCTCTCTTTCTCTCTCTCAAATCAGTAAAAACATACCCTAGAGTGAGGATTAAAGGAAACAGCAACCCATGCAATGCCTCCTCATCTGAGCAGACACCCCTGACTCCTTTAAGAAGAGACTTGGCCATCTGGCCAGTGTGGGTCAGTGGTTGAGCATCAACCTAGGAACCAGGAGGTCATGGTTCAATTCCTGGTTAGGGCACATGCCCAAGTTGTGGGCTCCATCCCCAGTAGGAGGTGTGCAGGAAGCAGCTGATCAATGATTCACATCGTCGATATTTCTATCTCTCCCTCACCCTTCCTCTCTGAAATCAATTATCTATAGTAATAAAGGCATAATATGCTAATTAAACTGGACGTCCTTCTGGACGAAGCTGGGGCTACCAGAGAAGCCCGGGTCCCAGATGCTAAAAGGAAGCCATGCTGGCAGCCGGGAGAAGGAAGGCCCTACTCTTGCACAAATTTCGTGCATTAGGACTCTAGTATATATATACTGAGTGGCCAGATTATTATAATCTCTGAACTCATAGGAATCTGGCCACTCAGTGTGTGTGTGTGTGTGTGTGTGTGTGTGTGTGTGTGTGTGTGTTAAAAGTCTAAGAATTCGTGCATGAATTCATGCATGGGTGGGATCCAGCCAGCCTGGCCAGGGGGAGAGGTTGGCCAGCCTGACTGCTGGTCAAACTCCTGGTGGAGGGGACAATTTGCATATAAGCCTTTTATGATATAGGATAGACACTGAGTGGCCACATTATTATGTGCTCAGAGATCATCATCATCTGGCCACTCAGTGTGTGAATATGAGTCATTGCCTGGCAGATGTTGCTCAGTGGTTGAGCATTTTCCTATGAACCAGAAGGTCATGGTTTGATTCCTGGTTGGGGCACATGTCCAGGTTGCAGGCTTGATCCCCATTAGGGGGCAGGCAAAAGGCAGTCGATTAATAATTCTCATCATTGATGTTTCTATCAGTCTTTCCTTCTCCCTTCCTCTCTGAAATCAATAACAATACATCAACCTATGAACCAGGAGGTCTTGGTTCAATTCCGATCAGGTCACATGCCTGAGTTGCAGGCTCAACACCTAGTGCAGGGTGTGCAGGAGGCAGCCTATCAATGTATCTCTCTCTCTCTCTCTCTCTCTCTCTCTCTCTCTCTCTCTCTCTCTCTCCTTTCCTCTCTAAAATCAATGAAAATATATTTTAAAAAATGTATCGAGTGGCTTCTGTGTACCAGGTACCGTACGAGGTGCTTAGAAAAGCACAGTGAATACATCAGACTCCCTGCCCTCATGGACTGGATGAGAGGAGGAAGGGGTGCAGATTTTCAGGGAGTAAACAAATAAATGAGATCGTTTCTGCTATGACAAGTGCTCCAAAAATTAATAAATCAATAAACAGGGAGAGAACCCCTTTCGCCAGGGCAATCCTGGAGGGCCTCTCTGAGGAGGGCTACCGCATGCCAAGAATGTAAGCTTTGCCCGTCTCCCTGACCTGAGAGTAGCAGCTCCTTGAGGGTTAGGGCCCAGTCATCCCTAGAAACCTGATGTGGGACAGGGTTCCATAAACTCTTGAGACATGACTAAAGAAACGGGTGAATTGCCTTGCAAAATGAATCCAAGTGTTCGAGTCCCCGCCCACATTGCTTCTGATCCTCCCAGAACAAACGCAGCGGATGCTTCATTATCGTTTTCCTGGGTGTGCTCACGGGAGCAGGGGAGGAGTCCATGCAAGGGGCTGTGCACCTGTCATCCATGGAGGGGGCAGAGACGGTGTGGTCACTGCCATGTTCCCAGCCCAGCCCCCGGCCTGCCATCCAGTAAATGCTCAACAAATTGGAGTTTGGATGGGGACACAGGGACCCCCTGTGCTGGATGGAAAATGCCTTTTGCACCAAAACCGGTTTGGCTCAGTGGATAGAGCATCGGCCTGCAGACTGAAGGGTCCCAGGTTCGATTCCGGTCAAGGGCATGTACCTTGGTTGCGGGCA